TCTCATTACTGATCTGGTTGGTGACTAAAGATACTGATCGTCTATGAATCTGCTCATCTTCTAGGCAGAGATAAGTCGCTCGCCTTTGTATTAACACCTGCTTAAGTTCTCGACAGTATTCTGATCCTTAAACTAGGCTATTTACCCCTTCTAAATGGTAACCAGAAGACAGCAAGAGAAGCCACTGCACGGCGACACAAGGTTAATGGTTGTGCCAACTGGATGGAAAGATTTTATGGTCAAATGATCTAACTGTGGGTTTCTCACCGAAGTGTCCAATTTTTCAGAATGGCAAACAATATGCTTGCAATTATAATTTTTGGGGAGTAATAAAGGATAGTGAAGTATAGGTTTAAGATAGGCAGAACTTTTGATACAGAAATATTTTATTCTGCCATAAATTATAGCATCAAGAGATAGTTGCGTGGAATAATATTGGTTTAAACTATGTTACCCCATGAGACATAAATGTTCAATACAGGATTGACTTCAAATTTCAAATGAGCATTTGGGAAAGGCACAATGATAAAACTGAATCACGGATAACTCGAACCTACTAGTTTAGATACAGCCCACGAAATTTTTCATTGGTGACGACAATGAAGCTCCGCAGCGTGTCTCGGTACGGTTTTCAACATCCTTCTGAAAGTCAAATATCTTTCATCTATTGATTGAAGTATAAAAACAGAATTAAAAACTGGAAATTATAAAGGCAAAGCTATGTTTGCATAGTCTGAAATGAATTTGTTCGTATCTCAATTAATCGCAACGCCATTGTTATCACTATAATTAGGTTAACATTGATCCGCTCTAGAAAGAATGGTCGCCCACTTTGAGTGAACATAATATCACAGTCTCAACTGGTTGTATCCCAAAAACTCATTTAGAGAAAAAACACCTTTGTGCGAATTGAGTTATCGGATCGCATGCTCACGCCATATGGTCATATGCTAAAGATAGACCGGTAGTAAATATTACAATTCGGTAAGCGTGTGTACACGCCGTACAGCATAGAAATGCTATGCGAAAGGTCATTTCAATCATTTGAGGAACATCGTTAGTAAATAGTCAGAAATCCCGCAAATGTTGTGATAAGTAGCCTGCGACAACTACCGACATCAACAGTGTGGTGGCTATTAGCAAATAATCTTAAAGACCTAAAGAAGACGTGTCGCGAGATGTTAACATTGCGTTTAATCTTCAATCGCTGACGTAAAACAAACAATCACATTTATAGCACATTGGATTTGTAAATCCCAGTGAACGGACATATACAGTTAGACAGGGGCTATTGGAATTAAAAG